AGAATCTTTTTTCATTTTCGTAAAATTTTAGTTTTCTTTCTGGGGAGGGTGAAGAACGTAGACTTTTGTTTAACTTACGTATATGAGAAAAAGCTGATTCTTCAATGTCCTTTACGTATTTCTTTATACTTAAACATCTCTGGCAATCTTCCGATAATTGCTGTAATGTTAGACCCGGTTCATTTTGTAATTTTGCAAGCATTCTTCTGCGCATTTCGCTATCTTTTGTAGAAACTAACCCTTGAACAAAGATGAGACATTTGAAATTGTCCGGGGTTAATTCTGCTAGTTTGAAGTCGTCACAATGTTTATTTACGATTGCGGCAAACGTGGAATAATCCTCATTATCGCCCTTTACCAGGTTAAGGCATTTCCACTTCATGTGGAAGAGTAATGTTTTGGGGCTGAAGAGTTCTTTAAGACATATCACTGCTTCGTCAAATGTTAATTCCTTCGTCTTTTTTGGCAAGATATAATCCACGAACTTTGTATATTCTTCAGTTCCTAATTTTCTAAGCAATAGACGTAGCTTTTTTGCTTCTCTCTAATTTTGACAGTCAATGTTAAAGATATCTTCATGTCTTCTGAAGTAATCTCCAAAATTTTTGTCCTTATCTAGAGAATATTTGAAAATCTCTATGGTATTCCACACTGCGTCTTGCGAAAAAGTTGCTTCTTTTTCAATATCTAATTGCTTGTTGCCCGCTACGTTCAATATTAGTTCCTGGATCTCTATTTGTCTTTCTAATTGCTTTTGCCATTTTCCTTCCATTCTTTCTTGTAGTTGTAATTGTTGATCATTTTGGTATTTTATCAGTTCTACCAAAATATTTTTAAAATCTTTCATGATAACTCAATTTTACGTATTTTTACTCCTCGTAACTGTTTTTCGCTAATTTGTTGAGGACGACGAGGGAAGGGTTTTTCTATTTCTTCTTTTCGTGTGAGTCCGAATCGCTCGACGCCAATTTGCTTGTTGGACGACGAGGGAATATTTTTCTTTTGTTTTCCGCGTGTGTTCGAATCTTCGTCGCCAATTTGTTGTGGATTCCGAGATGAAATTCGGTCTCCAATGAATGACAAACGCAAGAATTAAAGATAAGAAATAAAATTTATTTACACAATAATACAAAGGGTAATACTGTTAGTAAATCCAGGAACGCGGTTAGTAGCAATAATATATATATATATATATATATATATATATATATATATATATATATATATATATAGTCGAAGTAGATTCTACGTTCTACGTGCTTGTAACTGACTTTTACAAGCGGTTACCTCACACTATTACTCTACCTCCAACTCAATCACAATCTCAGTCTTATTACTATCTCACTACTCACTCTCTGTATTCTGACTGACTCTGGGTATTTAACGGCAGCAGTCCAAGTAACACTTTGGTCGAGTCCACTTATATGAAAAAGGGGAGGAGCCCATAACAATCCTCTACCTTTATAAGAGTCACATCAGGTCGAAAATCGAGTACAGTTGCCATATTTGGACAGGAGCTGCCAAGACCACACTTTCCAGCCTTGATAGGGCTCAAAAGCGTCTCCGAGTCCTTTTTTGGAAAAAAAATATTTGCCACACTCCAAACTCTCTTTTACAGTCGGGGTGTAGCGAGTCTCTCATTGTTCTATCGCTACTCCCAAGGAAAGTGCTCGGTTGAACTGAATCTTCTGGTTCCACCAGGCCTGACCTCACGTCTAGGACAGCGTCTTCTCGCGAACCACTCTCCAATGGAATAGGCACCGAAGAGGATGCTTTCCCAGTCACTACAATCTTAATCTGCTCAAGTCTAGAGCAAGCAATTATCTTCCGCTCCTATCCATATTAACTGCCCTTTAACGTAACCATCTACTTCGAGTGGCTCCTGGGGCTTGTACAGAGTGAACCATACTGTAAAAATGTAACAGGCTGCTCCCTTTTGATGAGAGCGCAGAAACACCGTAATGCCGTAACAAATAGAAAAATCAGGCTTTCCTTATATGGGAAGAAAGAGAGATCACCACCCTCTGTGGGATGAAGTTGATATAATAGACACTGGAAAATACGAAAAGTTAAGAAATCAGTGCATATGCTCTGCCACAGAGATCCCATAAGCCGGCCAAGCATAGGCATGAATAACAGTATGAGAACCAGTAATAGAGAGAGTGCTTGAGAAAAACAGCAATAACAAAAAATTGTAATATGAGCTCGGGTAAAAAATGTTTACTTTTCTAAGTCCCAAAATTTCACTCACTGATATCCCCAAGGACACATGGCCCAGCGTTGGTTAAGTAATCCAAAAAAATGACTTAAACCAAACCTGGCCACATCAGAGGGAAGAGAGAGTTGAGTTACTAAAGGGAATTAACTGAATCTGAGATATAAAAAAAGGCATGGCACATGGAACTAGAACAATCTATCCTCGTGGACTAAATAAAGGGTTCGATTCGAAATTCCAAAGTATATCATCTGAAGAAGGCCGGAGCGTACAACGGCCGAAACGTTGTGAATATAGTAATAAAGTTGAGGACGATGTAAATAGTGTAAAATGTTATATAATATATAATACAACATCTCAGAAATATCGACAGATATAGATACATAGATATGAACAGGCTGAGATAGATAGATAGATAGATAGATAGATAGATAGATAGATAGATCTTCTTTCCTACAGACAAACCTTCACTATTTCCATTGCAAATGATCAATTGAGTTCCAATCTTTGTTCCACCAATTCAGACATTTATAGCTAGGACTCGCCCTTCTTCACTCAAGAAATCGAATCTACTATATTTTTCAATATTCCATTTGTAAGGTAGAAGTTCTCAGAGATTTTTTTTTTCGGAGAACTGCTGCTTTGTGGATCAAACTCCCGCGTGAATACTTCCGTAAAAAGTATAATTTGAACCTCCCAACTCAAGGATCTATCTATGTAATCTTCACTTCCTTGGCATCGTCCACGTCCTGAATGGAAATGGCACATGAAATCTTCATACTGTGTAAGCCATTGCTGAAAAGTTCTCAGCCCGATCTACTTTCCAAATTCTGATATTTGGGAGCGCAGGCAGGTCAAGGAATTTTCTGACCAAATAACAAAATGACCAAACAGTTTTTTTTTTCTTTGTCAGACCGAGAACTTTTCATTTTTATAAAATTTTATCAGGTACTTTGCTGATAATATCAGAGAAACGATGAAATCTTTAGGAAAATATAAATAAAGCAACCTATAAGGAACCAGAAAGAAAGATGCGGTATTTCTGAGACACATAGTAAGGAAAGACGGCTTAGAGAATTTAAAACTCATAGTACACTTTGAAAGCAATCGAAGAAAGAGAAAACTAACGAATTTGGGTGTAGAAATGGTAAAACAAGGTCAAAGTGAGATAACAGTGTCAAAAACTTACCTTGAGTTATAAAAGACAGGAAGTTGGGGAGAACCATGATTGTACACATTCTGAAAGTTCATGACATATAGAAGAAAATATATGCGAAAGTGTGTTATATAATAATCAAAATACGAAGTTAACCCAATGTACCGAGTAGGGACTAAATGTGTGCGCTTATGCTCAGATCGACGACATTTTCCTGTCTTTCTGTATATATATATATGTCTAATTGTCTCGAAACATAAATATTTGTTTATTTTATACGTGTCTTTGCTCCCATTATGTTAATTTTATTAACCTTCAAGTTTTTAAAAAAAAATTAAGTTTTTCTTCCTAATGCTTAAAAAATGTTAATTTCTTCAGTTAATTGGATTTAAGTCCGACACATTCACGGCTTTGATGTTCTTTGATGTTTGAAATGATTGTATTAGTTACTTGAAAGGAACCTTTGATATTTCGTTGTAGGAAGGAAGGAAGGAAGAACAGAAGGAAAACCGAGAGGAAAATAAAAAAAAAAAGGAAGACATGACAAGTACACAGGAGGGGATAAGAAAGACAAATTTAGAGGAGGAAACAGAATATCGGGAGAGCAAATACAAGAGTGAAACGGCGGAAAGAAGATTCGTTGAAAATTGTAAGACAGGATGGTAGATCTATCAAAAGAAGGAAGACGATTCGTAAACAGATGTTAAAAAAAAGAATTGGATGCAACAAATGCAACTAAGATCCGATAAAGAAGAAATCAAATGAAAGAAGCAAAAGTGAAGAGAAAAGATGGAGGAATAAATATTTTTTAACCATGCATCATAAGAAAGCAAAATATACGTAGTTATTAGACTTAAAACCGAAGAAGGAGGAGGAGGCGGAAAAGAGGAAAAGAAGGAGGATGAGTGTAAGAAGGAGTATGTTAAAGCATAAGAGGGAAAGGAGAATAAAGAGTAGGGAGGATGTATAAGGTAAGGACGTTCAAAACATTAAAAAGGAGGGAGCAGGGGGGATAGGTTGAGGAGTTAAAGACGAGGAAGGAAGAAAAGTATGAGAAGCGAAAGACCAGGCGTAACAGACAAGAAGTAAGAGGAAGTGTGTGGATGAGGGTTAGGAGGAGGAGTTAAAGGCAAAGAAAGATGGTGTGAGGAGAAGTTTGAGAAGTTAAAGAAGAAGGAAGAAAGAAAAATATGAGGAGCAAAAGTCCAGACTTAAACGATAAGATGTAAGAGTAAGGACGGAGGGTTAGGAGTAGGAGCAAAAGGCGAAGAAGGAGAGGGTGAGAAGAAAGACGAAAAACGAAGTAAAAGACTGGGGTTTAGGAGGAGGAGCAAAAGTCGAAAGGAGAGGCCAGGAGTAGGAGGTGGCAAGGTAGAGTTAAAGTAGTACAAGAAGGAAGAACTGTATGAGAAGCAAAACACCAGAAGAAAACGACAAAGAGGAGGAGGAGGAAGGGTGTGTATGGAACGGTAGCAGGAAGAGCCAAAGACGAAGAGGATGTGAAAAAGGACGAGGAAAAAGAGGTGAAGTGAGAATGTGGAGAAAGAAAAGACAACGTAAGAAGAGCGAGGGAGAGAGAAGAGAAGGGGAGAAGCAGGAGGAGTAGGAACTAGTCGTCTGAAAGATGTATCAAGTGCAAAAGAGGATAAAGAAGGGACAGGAAGAAGGGTATGGGCGGAAGGTTGGTAGTGGGAGGAGGAGCAAAATGTGAAGAAGAGTGTGAGGTGGAAGACGAGAAGAAAGAATGAGGAGATAATGTGAAGAATTAAAGGGCAAAGAAAAAGAAAGAGAGAGAGAAGACAAAAAGCCACAGAAAAGGAGGGAAAAGGAAGTAGACAGAAAGTAAAGATGATTAGTAAAATAAGGAGGAGGAGGAATAACAGGAAGAAGACGGGGGTAAACGTAATTAAGGGGGATTAATAGCAAAAGAAGAAGTAGGGGGAAGATTAGAGGAAGAGAAAGAAAGTAATAGACGGAAAGTAATGTAAAGGAAAAGAAGAAGAAGAAGAAAAAGTAGTTAGACGAATGCGGACGGTGAGTAAGTCGGAAGAGGAAGAGAAAAAGGCTAGGAAGTGAATAAAGAGAAAGACGAGGACAGAAGGATGAGGAGGGAAGATGAAAAAGTGAAAGAAGAAGAAAAACGAATGAAGAAGAGGAGATAAGCGAAGAGTAAGTAGGATAAGTAGCAAAAAGAGGAGGACTTAAAAGAAGAAGAAGAAGAAGAAGAAGAAGAAGACGAGGAGTATGAGAAGAAGAAGAAGAAGAAGAAGAAGAATGAGCGAAGGGGCGAAGGGGCGGGGGAAAGATATAGATGCTTGTGGTGGTAGAATAAAATACGAAGATATGTGTGGGTTTATAAAAGCAACAGTGTTTAAATGCAAAATATCTTTTCCACCAATTGCAGTAGTAATAGCCTCCATCATTGCTTGATGCTGTTGCGTACAGGCTAAAATAAGTAGCGTTCGATCCTGACTAAAAACCATGCAAAATGCTGATTTTCAAGGTAGGCAGGCAAACTTCGGAAGCTCAGTGTAACGCAAATTTCCCATAATGAATCTTGGGCCGTACGGATTTAAGATTATTCCTCACTAATCAGTTTTTCGCTCCATATAAAACCAGGAACATCGAATGATGATGTTCTAGAGTCTCTCTCCCACATGGAAAAGCAAATATTGTTTACAACTCCCCCTATCCGGCGTTCGGTGACTATTCTGTCCTACATAGTAAAATGAGTAATTTTTACTGGTAATCTAGATAAAAAAAAAACATGGTTTACTGGTCGGTGGTAAAAAAAAAAGAGTTTTCGGATGCTGATTTTCTAGGCATGAAGTCTCTTCCTCTTTCTCCCGATCTGTACGACTGTTGTGCTTTACATTAGAAATGAAATAAAAAGGTATTTTTCTTCGATCAGTGTTCGAATCTAGACAAATAAAAGGAATTCGAATGCTGATTTTCTAGGCAATTGGTGCAATATAATCTTCCTGCTTACATGTCCTCCCATCTAACCTGATGCCGTATATAAGTAGTTGGGAATGGGATTCGTCATGAGCGCAGATATCAGTGTTCAAGTCCTGATCGAAAACTAATGTTTTGAATCAATAATTTCTTCGGTATCTATGCTTATTCCGCTCAATCGATAATGGATCGATGCTATTCAGTTAACAATGCACACTTCGTTATGCTCTTAACTGTACATACAGATCCATCGATAGTACAATTAGTAATACTATTTACATTAACAGCAGCAAATATAAAATGTCGAACTACTATGTAACACGAGTTCTCTCATACGACAATTAGTGCTGAACAAATTCCTCGCTGATGAAGACTTGAGCCAACAGAGAAATGGTTCTATAGAAGGATACCGATAATACTATGGACGGAACATGTAAACAACAGACAACAATGCCCAGTACGACTACACCAAGAAGACATCAACGAAGTCGATAAGTTTGTCTAACTGGAAAGCGTCGTCAGTAAAGATTTGTGGGGACATATGCAAACATGAAGTGCCGAATCAACGAAGTTCGACACACTTTCAACACTGTACTGCCAATCTGGAGGTCATCATCCCCCTCACTTTACAACAAGATCCGGATCTTCAACACCAACGTCAAGTCGGTCTTACTTTACGGCAACACCTACAAACTTCAGACATTTACCAACCGATATCTCAGGAACATCATCAATATCAGGTGACCGGAAGTCGTTTCCAAACGACCAACTGTGGGAAAGGTCCAGACAAGCCCCAATAGAGGCAGACACCAAGAAACGGAAATGAGAATGGATCGGCTACGCATTCCGCAACTCTTTTTCTAGTATCACTAGGCAGGCCCGTGACTGGAATCCACAAGGGAAGCGAAAAGTGGGTCGACCAAAACAAACTTAGCGCAGAAGTGATGATTTAGAGGTGAAAGCAGCCGGAACGACATAGGCCGAGCTGTCAAGGATCGTCCGGAAACGCGTCCGTTCCTCAAGGAATCAAGTGGCATAATAAAAAAAAATCAAAATGTGAGCAATGAGGAATTTTTTCAGAAAAATGGGAACGAAAAGGCACTTATACTTAGAATCAGAAACAAGGAGTTGAAATTTTGGAGGCACATAATGACGGAAAGGGGCATGTAAAATTGAACGCTTACAGGCAGGGTCGAATTTAGACCTCACGAGGCCCCTGGGATATGAGAATTTGGGGGTGGGCGTTCATTACGTATGTTCGCCATCGTGTCTATGAAGAAATATATTTTTAGGTGACTTTTTTTCGAAGTGAAACATGAATCAGTTCAGCTAAAATACTGTTTCAAATTCGTTCAAAGGAATTAAATCTGAAAAGGAACAAATCTCTTCTGTTCGTATATATACTTGTATGAAGCGCCCAAGACTAGAGACGCCCTTGGGAACCCCACTCGTTTGGAGTCCCCTGGCTGCAGCCCATAATAGTCCATATGTACATCCGACAGTAGTCACATGACATACTGAAAGAAGGGAAACAGCCAGCAACCTACTTAATAAGAGTGTGTATGTGGATCGCAGAAAAGGGAAGTGGAGTGAGATAGTAAAATAATCAACATTACTAACAACTCAAAAGGATAGGAAGTTGTGGAGTGCTATGATCATTCACGTCGAAGAGGTTTTTTTTTTACCTCCCGGCCCATTCCACTTCAGTAATATCAATGGATCGATAATGTTCAGTTAATGATGCATACTTCTCTGTGTTTTTAACTGTACAATCTAGATCCAAAAATGTGTCCTGGGTATGACGATAAACTACATCCGACAGCAAGGCATCTGATCGGGAGGTTTTGAGGAGCGTAGAACTACCTCTTAAATTATGTTGTTCCCAGGTCCACGCTGACCTAGAGTGGTAGCACCTGTTAGGACCCCAAATTTGGGAAAATAATTAATCTCTAAACTTGGGTGAAAACATTATAAAAATGTTTAAAAATACATTTTTATAGTAAAAAAAAAACACATTTTCATAGAAAAAATTACCAGCAATGCATTTTTGTAAGTGAAATTACTAATACTCCCAAGAAAATTAAATTTCAGCATTAAATGACCCATAAAGTGTTGATATGCCACTAAACTAAAAGATCCAGAAACATCACTATTAGTGCTATTAATTACATTACCACCAGCAAGTATAAAATATCGAACTCCTTATGTAATATCAATCGTCCTGTATAGAGCTGACCGTACGATCACCGAAGTTAAGCAACGTCGATCCTAGTCAGTACCTGGATGGGGAACCTCTTGGGAATAACGAGTGATATAAGCTTGGATGTCTGGGTGGTGTAAATGACAATGCCTTCGAATTATTAATCGGAGAGCCGAGTTCCAATTCCAGTCAGGTTTGTTATATTCACTTACGCACAAATTGCAGAAAAGGTATGAATCCATCTCTTTTCTTATAGGTTAATTAGTAATATTTGTATCACTAAAACCATTATTATCTCAAAAAAGAAATTGTGTACCAAAATATTTAGATTTCGGCATTAAATAATCCATACAGATTGATAGGCACAAAATAAAAACAACCAAGATATATAGCGGTGAATGTTGGACAATTGCTTCAAAGTTTATTACGTTTCGGCCGTTGAACGATCCGGCCTTCTTCAGGTGGTTGGAATGTCGAACTGAACCCTTTATTTCGCTCACTGGGGTAGACTGTTCTAGTTCCACGTGCCATGTTTTAATGGATGTCAGTTATCAGATATTTCCTGTTAATTCGTCTCTCCAAGTTTTCCATTCCCTTAACCGAGGACACATGGCACAGTGGATAAAGGCGTTAGTTAGATCCAGTGACAAGACCCTAAGAGTGTGAGTTCAATACCTGCATGGCACGTGGAACTAGAACAGTCTACCCCAGTGAGCAAAATAAAGGGTTCAGTTCGACATTCCAACCACCTAAAGAAGGCCGGAGCGTACAACAGCCGAAACGTAGTAATAAATATGGCGACAAAAATGAGGACAACTTGGAACAATTTAGGAGATGGTTTAGAACGAGTGACCCTCATTCACACGAATGTGTAGCGTACCAGCCATCAAAAGTACTACCTGTATCCAGAGCCTGTTTTACAGAAACAGTTTAAAACCATACTGCTGGGATTTTTTTTTCTCACAACCATAAGGATTTACACCTGACCTTGCACCAACTCATTATAACATTTTTCGATCGCTGCAAAATACTTAAAAAAGGTGAAAAACTAAAGAAAATACAAAATACTTAAAACGGGGAAAACTAAAGAATTCATCGAAAAAAAATTCACATTCAAACCTGAGGAATTTTACTCAAAAGCTATTAAAGTCATTGTAAATAATAGCGAAGAGATAATTGAAGAAAATATAATAAACTTCATTTTCGAAATAATAAAGTTGACAAATAAAAACACAAATTAATTATGGCTCAAACTAATGCAAGCCAAGAAAATACTTTATCTTTGATAAAGTCTGAAATTCCATCCAGCACTCGGCTTATGACCACATCACGTCGAAGCATCGTCAAGTACATGATAAGTACCTAGATGGCTGACCGCTTGGAAATAGCAGGTGCAGTAATCATGATGCTGTAAGCTTATGGCTGGGGTAATGGATAACTGCTCTGAATTGGGAGTCAGAGACTCAATTTCTAATTCCAGTATGGTTCGTTATATTCATTAACGAGCATATATCCTCGGGAATGGTATAGGTTCTGTAGTAGGAAGAGTATCAGTAAATCATTATGATCTCCAAAATAAGGTCCTTAGGATCGAAAACATTTTCTGGTTTTAAATAACCCGCAAAAGGTTGATAACCCATAAAAAACAAACCAAATAATCAACACATCCACTACGCAACGAGAAACTCTTGGAAAGCGCATTTAACCTGTTTGTAGTTTTGAACGTGTTACTTATTGTATGGCACATATTTCGTCATCAAAATGGTTGACAACGTTTGATTATAAAAGTTCATCAGAACAATGATCAACTCCACGTGAGCATCTCACTGTGCCTTTTTCGTCTGACCTTCTCCTCTGACCTCAGGTGAAACAACTACATTGAATCAATAGCTTCATCTACAGGGTGTTGCAGCAAAATCCAACACTTGACAAAAAGAAAACAAAATAGGCAATAAAAACCAAAGTTTATATGCAGATACCTAACAGTTTATTTAGCAACAGTTAGAAGTATATACGACATTGTTTTTCAATGTAACCGCTTTGTCGACAATGTCCATGACCATAACGACGAACGACTCCACGATGGCAGCCTTCAGAGAGTCGTCGACCGTGTTGGCGTGCTTGTTGGTCTTGGCCTTGATCACGCCCCGGAAGAAATAATCAAGGGGGTGGCAGTCAAGTGAGGGGGCGACCACAAGTCCGGCGACCAGTGGTGAGTAACATTGTTGAGCAGCCACGCCTGGTTCGTCTTGTCCTTGTGTGCACGAGCGGAGTCCTGCAGGAAGACGTAGGGGTGTCCGGCGACGATCTTGTCCATCCAGGGCATCACCACGCTCCTCAGCACTTCCTGGTAAATCTCAGCGGTGACTCTCAGGCTCTTTTGACAGAAGAACGGTGACATGACGTCTCCCTCGCTACACACAAGGCCAAGACAACTCAGGCGTGGCTGCTCAACAATGTTCCTCACCATTGGTCGCCGGACTTGTGGCCGCCCTCCTCCCCTGACTGCAATACCCTTTACTATTTCTTCTGGGACGTGATCGAGGCCAAGACCAACAACCACGCCCACAACACGCCGCTAAGGTCTTGCCCGCCAAAGCGTGTGACTCATTTCGCGCCGGCCTTGAGATGGTCGTCGCCGCCAGCAGCGGTTACATTGAAAAATAATGTAGTATGTAACTCTAACTGTTGCTAAATAAACTGTCGGGTCTCTACATATACAACTTTTATTTTTATTGCCTATTTCGTTTTCTTTTTGCCAAGTGTCGGATTTTGCTGCAACACCTTGTACTGCAAAAAAGTTGGTCATCTGTGTCGCGCCAAAAGGTCTTTCTCGTTTGAATCCATTCTTTAAATCTACAAATCTACCATTCGTCCTTGCATTGAATACTGTTGCCATTTATGGTCTGGTATCCCCGCTGTTTATCTCGAGATTATCGACAAAATCCAGAGACGGATATGCAGTGTGATAGGTCCTGATCTGGCATCTCGTCTACAGTTACTTTCTCACAGACGTGATGTAGCTCCCCCTGTCTTTCCTCTAGATAATTTCGTGACAACAGATCTGACGAGCTACTTTTATGGGTACCCTAACTGCATTAATTTAAGCGTGCTACTAGGTTGGTATCTCGGTCCCAACCTTTCACTGTCGATACAGTTATTTGTAACCGCCTCTTCTACTCCAACAGCTTCTCTCGCACTTCCAGACAGTGGAATTCCCTTCCTCTTACTTTTTTTCCTGATAGCTATAATCTTCAAATATTCAAATGTAATGTCAATCGACATCTTCTGATCCCTTGATCCTGATTTCCGTCCTTTTCTTTATTCTTTCCTCATATACCCTGGGTGTGGAAGGAATATCGACGATTCAGAATTCTTGAGGATTGAATTCGCGCCGTTTTGGACTTATATTCAAAACTCAAACAAAAGAAATCCGTCACTGTTAGAATTCCCCACCCACTAGTCACTCCGATCAATCGCTGACCATTCTAGTCCTGGCCTTCGTATTCTGTAACATCTACCATTCGTCAGTGCATTGTATATTGCTTATGAAAGACGTAGGAATATGTCCCTTGAGATTAAGAAAAGTAGGTTGCTATTGTTCCGCAATTTTCTAACCGAAATATTTCAATACGACTTGAGATGGAATCCAACTGGAAAAGATCAGGAACACCTGGCTAAGAACAGTAACGACTGGATAGGAAAAAAAGCGTCGCTCGTGAAGAGAAACACAGGCTAAACGCAAGAAAGTGTTCTGCGTTTGGATATTAATGCAAGCTTGAAATAGAGGAGAGTATAAATTGTTTTTTAAAAAAAGTATCAATCATGTGTACCTATATTCTGTGTGTATACAAAGGACGATTATCTCACTTTGGTTGGGACGAAGTCGAGATAATCAAGTAACGTCCGGTGAGTGGAGTCAGTTTTAGTTTGCTTTGTTTTGCTTAACGGCATATTAACTCTTTATAGTTCATTTAATGCCGAAATTTTTTTTGGGGGGGGGTAGAACTCAGGTATTTTTTTTTTTACAAAAATGTATCGTTAGTAATTTTGTTCTCCCTTTTCCAATACTGTATTGATGATAAATTTTCTTATTCCAATTTTCTTTTTACTTTCATGATGTTTTGACACCAGTTTTTGGGGTTCATTATTTGCCATTAGCTTGGAAAATCTTACAAGTAAGACCCTCTCGCTTTTAGCTCCTTTTATTCTGCTTGTTGCATACATAAGTTATAGTTTCTCTGTGTGGAACAAATTTCTGAAAAGTATACACATATCGATATGAAAAATCTCTTTGAGAACAATTCATGTTTGTGATTCCATTTTTTCAGCTATTCTGTTCCGTCCATGTATCAAGTTGTAACCATAGTGTTGTTATAAAAATGCTTATAATGGGGAATTTCAAACTGGGAATATTTCTTTCTTGCATAGCATCCCCATCAACACCTGTTTGTTCTTCGGCTATTCAATTACACTAGCTCGTTAGGTCGGTGAAACGCTGTTTTCCTTTTGCCTACGATATGCCCTATGAGTATTAAATTTTCCAAGCATTCTTTCCTCATTTTACGTCACAGAAATTTAAACCGTCTTACTGCTGATTTCATGTACAACTTTCCATAAACTTCTTCATTATTTATATGATCCGTCCATGGTATTCTAACTATCCTTATGTAGAAGCATATTTCTGTACGTTCAAATCTTCACTTTATCTGCGGGAAAATTGCCATATAATTGAATTAATCTTACATAGCGGTTCAGCACACTTTTCTTTTCTTTTTATGAATTTTTTTTCTTTTTCTTAATACTTTGCTTAGCTTTAGGAAGGTACCTTTTGCTATTCCAATGCTTCTTCGGATTTCAGTGTCACATTTCCCATCCTTTGTTAAAACAGTTCCACAATGTTTAAATGTCTGTAATTGTTCGTTTTTGACATTCCATTTCACGGTTCACATTATAGGCTTTTTTCTGTCGTTGACATCCATATATTTTGAGCTTTTTCTCTTGTTGACAAACATATGTATTGGTTTTTTTTTCAGTTGCTGACAACCCAAACGCCGTAGGCTTTTTCTTTTGTTGACAACTATATATCTTGAGCTTTTTCTCTTGATAACAACCATACATACTGTGATTTCTTCTCTTGTTGACAACCAAATGTAATTGTCTTTTTCTTTTGTAGGCAACCAAATGTATTTGGCTTTTTCTCTTGCTGGCAACCAAATGCATTGGACTTTTTTCTTTTGTAGGCAACCAAATGTCTTGGGATTTTTCTCTTGCTGGCAACCAAATGTATTGGACTTTTTCTCTTGTTGACAACCAAATGTATTGGGCTTTTTCTCTTGCTGGCATGTATTGCGATTTTTCTCCTGCTGGCAACCAAATGTATTGGGATTTTTCTCTTGTTGACTACCAAATGTATTTGGCTTTTTCTCTTGTTGACAACCAACTGTATTGGGCTTTTTTTCTAGCTGGCAACCAAATGTATTTGGCTTTTTCTCTTGCTGGCAACCAAATGTATTTGGCTTTTTCTCCTGCTGGCAACCAAATGTATTGGGCTTTTTCTCCTGCTGGCAACCAAATGTATTGGGCTTTTTCTCTTGTTGACAACCAAATGTATTTGGTTTTTCTCTTGTTGACAACCAAATGTATTGGGCTTTTTCTCTTGCTGGCAACCAAATGTATTAGGCTTTTTCTCCTGCAGGCAACCAAATGTATTTGGCTTTTTCTCTTGTTGACAACCAAATGTATTGGGCTTTTTCTCTTGCGGGCAACCAAATGTATTTGGTTTTTCTCTTTTTGACAACCACTTATTCTCCTGCTGGCAACCAAATGTATTGGGCTTTTTCTCCTGCTGGCAACCAAATGTATTGGGCTTTTTCTCTTGTTGACAAACAAATGTATGTGTATTTTTCTCTTGCTGGCAACCAAATGTATTTGGCTTTTTCTCTTGCTGGCAACCACTTTTACTCCTGCTGGCAACCAAATGTATTGGGCTTTTTCTCTTGTTGACAACCAAAAGTATTTGGCATTTTCTCTTGTTGACAATCAAATGTATTTGTATTTTTCTCTTGCTTCAACCAAATGTATTTGGCTTTTTCTCTTGTTGACAACCAAATGTATTGAGCTTTTTCTCCTGCTGGCAACCAAATGTAATGGGCTTTTTCTCTTGCTGGCAACCAAATGTATTTGGCTTTTTCTCTTGTTGACAACCAAATGTATTTGGGTTTTTCTCTTGCAGGCAACCAAATGTATTGGGCTTTTTCTCTTGCTGGCAACCAAATGTATTGGGCTTTTTCTCCTGCTGGCAACCAAATGTATTGGGCTTTTTCTCTTGTTGACAACCAAATGTATTTGGATTTTTCTCTTGCTGGCAACCAAATGTATTTGGGTTTTTCTCTTGTTGACAACCAAATGTATTGGGCTTTTTCTCTTGCTGGCAACAAAATGTATTGGGCTTTTTCTCTTGCAGGCAACCAAATGTATTTGGATTTTTCTCTTGCTGGCAACCAAATTTATTTGGCTTTTTCTCTAGTTGACAACCAAATGTATTGGGCTTTTTCTCTTGCAGGCAACCAAATGTATTTGGCTTTTTCTCTTGCTGGCAACCAAATGTATTTGGCATTTTCTCTAGTTGACAACCAAATGTATTGGGCTTTTTCTCCTGCTGGCAACCAAATGTATTTGGATTTTTCTCTTGCTGGCAACCCAACGTATTTGGCTTTTTCTCTTGTTGACAGCCAAATGTATTAGGCTTTTTCTTTTGTAGGCAACCAAATGTATTTGGCTTTTTCTCTTCCTGGCAACCAAATGTATTTGGTTTTTCTCTTGTTGACAAACAAATGCATTGGGCTTTTTCTCTTGTTGACAACCAAATGTATTTGTCTTTTTCTCTTGTTGACAACCAAATGTATTTGGCTTTTTCTGTTGTTGACAACCAAATGCATTGGGCTTTTTCTCTTGTTGACAACCAAATGTATTTGGCTTTTTCTCTTGCTGGCAACCAAATGTATTTGGCTTTTTCTCTTGCTGGCAACCAAATGTATTTGGCTTTTTCTCTTGTTGACAACCAAATGTATTGGGCTTTTTCTCCTGCTGGCAACCAAATGTATTTGGCTTTTTCTCTTGCTGGCAACCCAACGTATTTGGATTTTTCTCTTGTTGACAGCCAAATGTGTTGGGCTTTTTTTTCTTTTGTGTAGGCAACCAAGTGTATTTGGCTTTTTTCTCTTACTGGCAACCAAATGTATTTGGCTTTTTCTCTTGTTGAAACCAAATGTATTTGGCAACCAAATTTTTGTCTTTTTCTTGTTGACAACCAAATGTATTTGGCTTTTTCTCTTGTTGACAACCAAATGCATTGGGCTTTTTTCTTGTTGACAACCAAATCTTTGTTTTTCTCTTGTTGACAACCAAATGTATTTGTCTTTTTTCTCTTGTTGACAACCAAATGTATTTGTCTTTTTCTCTTGTTGACAACCAAATGTATTTGGCTTTTTCTGTTGTTGACAACCAAATGTATTTGTATTTTTCTCTTGTTGACAACCAAATGTATTCGCCTTTTTCTCTTGTTGACAACCAAATGTATTTGGCTTATTCTCTTGCTGGCAACCAAATGTATTTGGCTTTTTCTCTTGTTGACAACCAAATGTATTTGGTTTTTTATCTTGTGGACAACCAAATGTATTTGGCTTTTTCTCTTGTTGACAACCAAGTGTAGTGGGCTTTTTCTCTTGTTGACAACCAAATGTATTTGGCTTTTTCTCTTGTTGACAACCAAGTGTAGTGGGCTTTTTCTCTTGTTGACAACCAAATGTATTTATCTTTTTCTCTTGTTGAAAACCAAATGTATTTGTCTTTTTCTCTTGTTGACAACCAAATGTATTTGCCTTTTTCTCTTGTTGACAACCAAATGTATTGGGCTTTTTCTCTTGCTGGCAACCAAATATATTTGTCTTTTTCTCTTGTTGACAAAAAAATGTAGTGGTCTTTTTCTCTTGCTGGCAACCAAATGTATTTGGCTTTTTCTCTTGTTGACAACCAAATGTATTGGGCTTTTTCTCCTGCTGGCAACCAAATGTATTTGGCTTTTTCTCTTGCTGGCAACCCAACGTATTTGGCTTTTTCTCTTGTTGACAGCCAAATGTATTGGGCTTTTTCTTTTGTAGGCAACCAAATGTATTTGGCTTTTTCTCTTGCTGGCAACCAAATGTATTTGGCTTTTTCTATTGCTGGCAACCAAATGTATATGGCTTTTTCTCTTGTTGACAACAAAATGTATTTGGCTTTTTCTCTTGTTGACAACCAAATTTATTTGTCTTTTTCTCTTTTTGACAAGCAAATGTATTTGGCTTTTTTTTCTCTTGTTGACAACCAAATGTATTTGGCTTTTTTTTTCTCTTGCTGGCAAAACAAATGTATTTGGCTTTTCTCCTGCTGGCAACCAAATGTATTTGTCTTTTTCTCTTGCTGGCAACCAAATGTATTGGGCTTTTTCTCTTGTTGACAACCAAATGTATTTGGCATTTTCTCTTGTTGACAATCAAATGTATTTGTATTTTTCTCTTGCTGGCAACCAAATGTATTTGGCTTTTTCTCTTGTTGACAACCAAATGTATTGGGCTTTTTCTCCTGCTGGCAACCAAATGTAATGGGCTTTTTCTCTTCCTGGCAACCAAATGTATTTGGCTTTTTCTCTTGTTGACAACCAAATGTATTGGGCTTTTTCTCTTGCTAGCAAACACTTTTTCTCCTGCTAGCAACCAAATGTATTGGGCTTTTTCTCCTGCTGGCAACCAAATGTATTGGGTTTTTTCTCTTGTTGACAACCAAATGTATTTGTCTTTTTCTCTTGCTGGCAACCAAATGTATTTGGCTTTTTCTCTTGTTGACAACCAAATGTATTGGGCTTTTTCTCCTGCTGGCAACCAAATGTAATGGGCTTTTTCTCTTGCTGGCAACCAAATGTATTTGGCTTTTTCTCTTGTTGACAACCAAATGTATTGGGCTTTTTCTCCTGCTGGCAACCAAATGTATTGGGCTTTTTCTCTTGCAGGCAACCAAATGTATTTGGTTTTTCTCTTGTTGACAACCAAATGTATTGGGCTTTTTCTCTTGCTGGCAACCAAATGTATTGGGCTTTTTCTCTTGCAGGCAACCAAATGTATTTGGCTTTTTCTCTTGCTGGCAACCAAATGTATTTGGCTTTTTCTCTAGTTGACAACCAAATGTATTGGGCTTTTTCTCCTGCTGGCAACCAAATGTATTTGGCTTTTTTCTCTTGCTGGCAACCCAACGTATTTGGCTTTTTCTTGTTGACAGCCAAATGTATTGGGCTTTTTTTCTTTTGTAGGCAACCAAATGTATTTGGCTTTTTCTCTTCCTGGCAACCAAATGTATTTGGTTTTTTTGTCTCTTGTTGACAAACAAATGCATTGGGCTTTTTTCTTGTTGACAACCAAATGTATTTGTCTTTTTCTCATGTTGACAACCAAATGTATTTGGCTTTTTCTGTTGTTGACAACCAAATGCATTGGGCTTTTTCTCTTGTTGACAACCAAATGTATTTGGCTTTTTTCTCTGGCTGGCAACCAAATGTATTTGGCTTTTTTCTCTTGTTGGCAACCAAATGTATTTATTTTTCTCTTGTTGACAACCAAATGTATTGGGCTTTTTTTCTTGCTAGCAAACACTTTTTCTCCTGCTGGCAACCAAATGTATTGGGCTTTTTCTCCTGCTGGCAACCAAATGTATTGGGTTTTTTCTCTTGTTGACAACCAAATGTATTTGGCTTTTTCTCTTGTTGACAACCAAATGTATTGGGCTTTTTCTCCTGCTGGCAACCAAATGTAATGGGCTTTTTCTCTTGCTGGCAACCAAATGTATTTGGCTTTTTCTCTTGTTGACAACCAAATGTATTTTGGCTTTTCTCTTGCTGCTTTTTTTCTCCTGCTGGCAACCAAATGTATTGGGCTTTTTTCCTGCTGGCAACCAAATTATTGGGTTTTTCTCTGTTGACAACCAAATGTATTTGGTTTTTTCTCTTGCTGGCAACCAAATGTATTTGGCTTTTTTCTTGTTGACAACCAAATGTATTGGGCTTTTCTCTTGCTGGCAACCAAATGTATTTGGCTTTTTTCTCTTGCTGGCAACCAAATGTATTTGGCTTTTTCTCTTGTTGACAACCAAATGTATTGGGCTTTTTTCTCCTGCTGGCAACCAAATGTATTTGGCTTTTTTCTTGCTGGCAACCCAATGTATTTGGCTTTTTCTCTTGTTGACAACCAAATGTATTGGGCTTTTTCTCTTGCTGGCAACCAAATGTATTTGGCTTTTTTCTCTTGCAGGCAACCAAATGTATTTGGTTTTTTCTCTTGTTGACAAACAAATGTATTGGGCTTTTTCTCTTGTTGACAACCAAATGTATTTGTCTTTTCTCTTGTTGACAACCAAATGTATTTGGCTTTTTCTGTTGTTGACAACCAAATGTATTTTATTTTTTTTTTGTTGACAACCAAATGTATTTGGCTTTTTTCTCTTTGTAGGCAACCAAATGTATTTGGCTTTTTCTTCCTGGCAACCAAATTTTGGTTTTTTCTCTTGTTGGATTTTGGGCTTTTTCTCTTGTTGACAACCAAATGTATTTGGCTTTTTCTCTTGTTGACAACCAAATGTATTTGGCTTTTTCTTGTTGACAACCAAATGCATTGGGCTTTTTTTTTCTTGTTGACAACCAAATGTATTTGGCTTTTTCTCTTGCTGGCAACCAAATGTATTTGGCTTTTCTCTTGTTGACAACCAAAT